ATTGTCCTGGAGTCGAGGATGGAGGCAGAGAGATAGATTTGTGTGTCATCCTCGTGGAAGTTGACCCCATGTCTGCGGATGATGTCACTTAGGAGGACAATATAGAGATTAAAGAGGAGGGCACCGAGGACACAGCACTGAGGAACCCTGCACGAGACTGTGCGGGGGTTGGAAGAGAAACCATTGGCGGAGACAAATTGGAGGCGGTGTGAGATATAAGACCTGAACCATTCAAGAACAGAACCTTGAAGGTTGAGGTGAGACGTGGTTGAGGAGGTTGGAGTGGTCCACGGTATCAAAGGTAGCAGAGAGGTCGAGGAGGGAGAGGGGGCAGAGGGAGCCCTGGTCACAGATGGACAGGATGTTGTTTATCACATTGACCACAGCAGTTTCTGTGCCGTGAGCACACGGAAACCTGATTGGAGGGGCTCGTGAAGGCAGTAGTAAGAGGAGGAGGAGCAAAGCTGGGAAGGAACGGCTCTTTCAAGGACCTAGGAAAGAAAAGGGAGGTTGGAGATGGACCGGTAGTTAGAAAGCAAGGATAGGTCCAGGGAAAGTTTTTTCAGGATGTGAGTGATCATAACTGTTTTTAGGGGGATAGGAATGGTGCCAGATGATAGGGAGAGATTAATGGTGTCAGAGAGTAGAGGGGTGAGGAGGTGGAGCTGGGAGGTAAGGAGAGGGGTGGGGATGTGGTCAAGGTAGCAGGTAGTGTGTTTCATTCTGTCCATCTGTGACCAGGGCTCCCTCTGTCTCCTCGTCCTCCTTGACCTCTCTGCTGCCTTTGACACTGTAGACCACTCTATCTCTAGGGACACAGTTGAAGCTGGAAGTGTTTCAAACCCAGATTAGATAGTTTTCTTTTAGAAAATAAAATTATGGGATATAGTACATAGGTAGTTTGGGACATATGTGCACGTGACCACCAGGAAAGTGGAAGGCGAACCTTGGTCATTTTTCATCTACCATTTCTTATGTACTTATGTTCTTATATGATCTATCCGCCTCCAACGCCTCTCCTCTCACCTTAACCTTCACGATTCTGTCCTTGAATGATTCAGATCCTATCTCTCACACCGGTTCCTTTGTCTCCACAAATGGTTTCTACTCCAGCCCCGCACCATCTCATGTGGTGTTCCTCTGGGCTCTGTCCTCGGTATTCTCCTCTTCAACCTGTACATGCTCCCTCTTGGTAACATCATCCGCAGACATGGGGTCAACTTCCAAATGTACCTGATGACACCGAACACTGCCTTCCCATCTGCAACATTGCTGGACTCTGCCACTTCCTCACCTCTCAGACCCCTGAAACCCTCATACATTCCTTCATTACAACCAGGCTCGACTATGCCAATGCCCTGCTTGTCGACCTTCCAAACTCTTCCCTCCACAAGCTGCAGATCATCCAGAACTCTGTAGCTCGTGTCCTCTTCTGCAGCAGGCTCCATAACCCCATCACACCCAGCCTTGCTCCAACTCTACTGGCTCCCCATCCCTCAGAGGATCGAGTTCAAAATTCTCGTCCTCACCTTCAAGGTCCTTCATGGCCTTGCCCCTTGCCGGTATACCAGGGTGAAGTTTGTGAGTAGGAGATGGTTCTGGCGGTGAGGGGGGAAAGGGCATGAAGAGTGGTGGAGAGGAATTTTTGGAGTAGTGAGTGAGGAGGATAAATTAGTGCGGGTGGTAGGCCAAAGGGGGAGGAGTTCAGATAACTCTAGGGCAGCAGAGAGGGATTGCGGGGAGACTTTTTTCCAAGGGCGAAAGGAGATGGCGGTGGATTGGGTGGCAGTGGGGAAGAGGGATCGAGGAGTTAAAGTTGATGAAATGGTGATCGGAGATGGCTTTGACTGTGATTGTGAGACCAAGACACTGACGCCCCGGGTAATCACCAGGTCGAGTAGCTGCCCATGAAAGTGGTTGGCAGAGTGGATGTGGAGGGAGAGGTTATGAAAGGGGATAGAGGAAAAGTCCAATGAGATAGAGTAGGAGGGGGTGAAGTGAAGGTTGAAGTCGTTGAGGATGAGGAGGCGTTCAGAACAGAGGCAGAGGGAATCTAGGAGGGTAGGGACATCAGAGATGAAAGTGGGGGAGGTTTTGGGGGTGAGGAGCGATAAATGAGGAGAATCTTGAGGGAAAGATTGGAGCGATGGTAGAGTGTAAGGTGCTCGAATGAGGGGAATGAACAAGCGGAGTAAGGCGATAGAGCAAGTGGAGGTCCTGGAGATGAGGGCCACATCACTGCCAAGGTGGTTGAGATGTGGGGTATAGTGGGTAGTGTCGCCTCAATGAGGGGGAAGGTGTCACCAGGTTTCAGTGAGGGCCATGATGTCAATATTTTCATCAACGATGATTTCTTTGATGGTCAGAGCCTTGTTGCACAGGGAGTGGACATTTTGTAGGCTGGTGGGGAGGGGACAGTTGCCAAGGGAATATGTGAGACAGGAGGGGGTCATGTCGGTATTGGCAGGGAGGATGGGTATGAGGATGAGGGAGGAGGGTTTGGCCTCTGGGGTCTGGGTCCGGCGGAGCTTGCGTTGATAGTGGGGAATGGGGCAGTAAGTGTGGCTGCTGCTGGACAGCTACTGCCGAGTGCCACGGTGAGCCCGGCGAAGGAATCTCAGGCTGGAGCCCAGGGAGGCTGTGGGATGGTCAAGTGGGGATAGGAAGCGAGGAGGACGGAGAGAGAGGACAGAGCAGGCGTGTTGCATGGATGGGGGCATTTTTGGGGAAGTACAGCTCGGGTCCTCTATAACCCTCCATAGATGATTGATGATGCCATATTTGGAGTATCAAGTGCAATTTAATGTTTAATCCGAATGGCACCGCCTCCAATAATATATTAGCAACTCACGTTAAAAAAAATTCAAAAATAAAGGAAAATCCTATTGAAAAATAACAAGTGGGCAAATTATTTAAGAAATATTGAATTATATATTTTCACGGTGCGCAATTTGGGGATTGAAGCTAAGTGCATTGTACGTTGCATGTACATAATTCTAGTAATTTATGGATATACATAAATTAGAGAGCACAGTATTTTACTAATCAGTGGAATCAGCAACAATGTATAAATTGAGAATTAGCACTTGAAGGAAAAACAGGAATGTCAAAGATTTTTTTCAGTTAGAATGTGTGGAATGTATTCCCACATATGGCTGGTGATGCTGAGCCTATAATAGCATTTATAGTAATCGTAATTGGATAAATGCTTGAAAAAATATACAGTAGGATAGAATGAGTAATAATCCTAGCATTCGATATAACACTTTTCACAATGGGAGGACGTCTCAGAGCTCTTCACAGGATTTATTGTAGTGAGTTGACTATTTTTTTTTAGCAAATGCAACAGCTAATTTGCAGTTTAATTGGGAGAAACTCGCTTGTCTTTTCAAATAGTGCCATGGGATCTTTAACATCCACCTAAACTGGCGGACTGGACGCCAATGAGATTTAGCATAGATAGCTTATGAAGACAGACACAATACGCCAAAATGGCTTCCTTCTGTTGTGTAAACATTCTAATATTAAATGTATATTTTGCAATCAATTGTATGGCTTGATTAACAATTGATCTGCAGGTTATGGCCTTCCATTCCTTGACTCCAGCGGAGTTTTGTTCATGCTCATCTGGTAAAACTACAGAATCCAAAACACAAACTGGTTAAATTAAATGTTACAGAACTTTTATTCATTCCATATTGATTAAGAATTTTACAATCAGTACAAATACAGTAATCGCAAACTGATTATAAGTTCGACCCTGCAAACCACTTTAGGAAGAAAAAAACTTCAATACAGCTTATACAGCGTATAAAAGTCAGCAACAGCCATTGAGATGGCAAGTAACTTACAGTAATAAAATTAGTAACTGCAACCTCTTAAGTTTTAAGACCTGAAACCTTCAACATTAGTTCATTATAAAATTAACACGGTATCTCAATGGCGACCAGCCATGTGCTAGAATACCGGATATGAAAACGTAATGAAGGAGTAACAAGTAACAAGCCTTCCATTGCACAAAAATGCAATAAAAACTGTTTCCCTAAATACATGTTCTTCAAAAAAAAAAATCCATCTCTCCAAAGCAGAGACTAAAATAACCAACAGTTGTTTTCCAAACATTAGAAATTTAAGGTACAAAAACATGTAGGACTACTGACAACAGTACTCTCCCAGTCAGTTCCCTGGTCTCTTGCCTCCAAGAAACCCTGACTAAAATGCAAGGTGGCGCGAGCTTCGTTTATCTTTTGAGCCCAAAGCATTTGGTAAAACATTCAGGAATTCACACAATTGAATTAAGGCGTTACTTATACAGATGATTTAGCTATCCATTATAAAGTGCCATTAGCCCGATCAGAATGTGTAAGCATAATAATTGATAAATATAAATAAAACTATCAAAAACGGTATCGACAATCTTTACACTTTCAGGTTCCCGCTGTGTCTGTCTGTCCTGAAACGTGCAGCTAAAAGAGTCCAGTTCTGCACACTCCTGTTTGTGTGTGAGTGTCTCGAGTGCCGACCCTCACACACACACACACATACACTGACACACACACACAGACAGACACACTGACAGACACACACAGACAGACACACTGACAGACACACACAGACACACACTGATAGACACAAACACACTGACACACACTGATAAACACAAACACACTGACACACACAGACACACACTGATAGACACACACACACTCACATACTGATAGACACACACACACTGATAGACACACACACACACACACTGACAGACACAAACAGACACACACACACACACACTGACAGACACAAACAGACACACACACACACAGACAGACACACACACTGACAGACACACACACTGACAGACACACACACACAGACACAGATTTGACAGACAGGCAGCCAAAAGCTTCCATTCCAAACGCCCGCTGGGTCGAGGGGACTCCCCACCCCCACCCACCCCCGCCCCGCACCCCCCGCCACCCCACCCCACCCCACCCCAAGGCCTCAAAAGCAGCCGTTTTGCTCAATGTACATTTTGGAGAGGGAGGCGGCCATGGATTTGGCCAACTCCTCGTCTCGCTTCCTCTGGACGTGCGTCTGTGTGCACCAGGTCTCGTACTCGGGGTTGGGCAGCGGATGCTCAAACACGGCGTCGTAGTGTCCGTTGCTCAGCCAGCTCAGCCAGACGCTGCGTTTGGACGGATCCTCGGGCCCCAGGTAATGCACCATGGTGGACACGGTGGGGCTCTCCATGCTACCCCCCGTGGTCAAGTACACGTTCACGTTCAGCATCTGGCTCATGGCCAGCAGCTCCGGGTAGCCGGCCCAGGCCCCGTCCTGGGCGGCGGCGATCAGGAACTCGCCCACGTCGCCCTCGATGATGGGGTTGAACTCGTCCAGGTGGTCGGCGATGTGGTGCACCGTCTGCTCCCGCAGCTCCCGGTGCACCGCCTGCTCCCCGTACACGGCCTTGCACACGGCCCGGTACAGGCAGTTGCCGTCCGGGATGATGTGGAAGCGGTAGCGCTCCCGCTCCCGCAGGTAACTGTTCTGCTTCTCCACCTCGGCCAGGTAGCGGGCGATCCTGGTCTTGTCCGGCTTGTTCTCCACCACCAGCTCCACGCTCCGGTAGCCGCCCTCGGGCTGCCACTCCTCGGACACCGAGCCGAGGGGAGCTTGGCCGCTCCGCGCCGCCGCCGCCTGTTGTTGCTGCTGCTGTTCGCCGGGGTAACGCTCAGCTCGGCCGCCATCGCCGTACGAGAGGCCGAAGCGCGGCTCCTGCTCCTGCTCCGACCCCCGGCCGCCCAGCACCGCCACCGCCACGTCCCTGCAGCCGCCGGTCAGTCTCGGGTCGCTCCCCATCAACGGCTGCCCATCGCCGCCGCCGCCGCCGCCGCATCTGCCCTCTCGGCTCCTCCCTTCGTTGATGGCGTTGTTTTCCAGAACTTTCTGGTACTCTTCCTCCTCCTCCTCCTCCTCCTCCTGCTGCTGCTGCTGCTGCTGCTCCATCATCATCATCATGACGGCCGGAGATTTGGTGCTTTTGAAAATGTCCTCGAACCAGACGCCGGGCCCGAAGCCGGGGCCGAGGGTGAACTTGTCGCCGGGGGGGCCCTGGGCGGCCGGGTAGCTGCCGCCCTGCGGGCCGTGGTGAGCTCTGGCCGCCGAGTGAGGCCTCGCGCGGTCGGCCTCGGCCTCGGCCACCAGCTGCAGGGCGGGCAGCATCCGCTCCAGCGGCCTGAGCGGGATCTTGGCGGTGGACGTGTAGAGGTGCGCGGCGGGCGGCTGCGAGGCGAGCAGGTCGCAGGGCGAGAAGGCGGGCATCTTGTTGCCGGCGGCGGCGGCGGCGGCGGCGGGCGACGGCGGTTGAGGCTGACACTGACACTCGCTCTTGTGGACGGCGCTCTGGCTGTCGACGGCCGGAGCTTTCTCTGCCTGAGGCGGCGGCGGCGGAGGAGGAGGTGGAGGAGGAGGCGGTGGAGGAGGCGGCGGGACGGCCACTTTGTAGGCTGCCCCCGGGTAGTGTGTCAACACGCTGTTGTACAGGTGCATGGTCGGGCGAGCGGCGGATCGGCCTCTTTTATGAGCGGCGGCGGCGGTAATCGCTGTCAAAAATACCCACTGTCATCACCGGCCATTTAAAAATAGCTCTGTCCCTCCCCCTCCTCCTCCTCCTTCCCTCCCTCCCTCCCTCCCTCCTTCCTTCCCTCCCTCCCGCCCCGCGATCAATCCAAGCAGCAGCAGCAGCAACAACAACAACAAATTACATTTGGGACAGGCGTCAGGTCAGGAGGACGACACAATAAGGGCCCAACTCAGCCGTCCGTGCGTCAGGGGCCGAGCCCTCTAAATGGAGATGCCTCCCGCCGGGAGCCTCCCGCCGCCGACTCCCGCAAAGCCACGCGAAGCGTTTGGATGCATCATCGTCCGGGGGTGTGGGTGGGGGGGGGTGTGGGGGGTGAAGGGGGAGGGGGGGGGTGTGGGGCTTTTTTCGCCGCTCTTGTCTGTCCCTTTTTGGATACCTTGACCTTGTTTACAGTCTGTCGGTCTGTCTGTGTGTGTGTGTGTGGTGTCTGTCTGTCTGTGTGTGTGTGTGTCTGTGGTGTCTGTCTGTCTGTGTGTGTGTGTGTCTGTGGTGTCTGTGTCTGTGTGTGTGTGTGTCTGTGGTGTCTGTCTGTCTGTGTGTGTGTGTGTCTGTGGTGTCTGTCTGTCTGTGTGTGTGTGTCTGTGGTGTCTGTCTGTCTGTGTGTGTGTGTGTGTGTCTGTGGTGTCTGTCTGTGTCTGTGTGTGTGTGTGTCTGTGGTGTCTGTCTGTGTGTGTTTGTGTGTGTGTGAGAGGCGCTGCTGATACCTCAGTACGTTGGAATGTGAGATGCGGCCCTGAGGGGCACCAGAGGAGAGCCGATTACGCGCGGATTGCAAAACGGCACAAAAACTGCAACGAGTCAACCGTCTCGGGCATAAAAGCAGATCCCTCCCCTTCCCCTGACACTGTTTGGTGCTCTCCTCTTCTCTCTCCTCTCCTCTCCCATCCCTTCCTCCTCCTCCTCCCATCCCTTTTTCCTCCCCTTCAATCCCCCCCCCACACACACACAGGCACTCACACACACACACACTCACCCCACACACCCACCCCCCCCACACACACACCCACCCCCCCCACACACACCCACCCCACACACACACTCACCCCACACACACACTCACCCCCCCCACACCCCCACCCCACACACACCCCCCACACACACACACCCACCCCCCCCACACACACCCACCCCCCACACACACACACACCCCACACACACACTCACACCCCCCACACCCCACCCACACACCCCCAACACACACACTCACCCCCCCCACACACACACACCCACACACACACCCCCCCCACACACCCCCCACACACACACCCACCCCACACACACTCACCCCCCCCACACACACACACACCCCACACACACACTCACCCCCCCCACACCCCCACCCCCACACACACCCCCACACACACACACTCACCCCACACACACACTCACCCCCCACACACCCCCACCCCCACACACACCCACACACACACACTCACCCCCCCCACACACACACCCCCACACACACACCCACCCCCCCCACACACACCCACCCCACACACACACTCACCCCCCCCCACACACACCCCCACACACACACACACACCCCACACACACACACACCCCCCCACACCCCCACACACACCCCCACACACACACACTCACCCCCCCACACACACACACCCACACACACACCCCCCCCCCACACACACATCCACCCCCCACACACACACCCACCCCACACACACACACCCCCCCCCCCCACACACACACACCCACACACACACACACCCCCCACACACACACAGGCACTCACTCACACGAGCGATATTCCTGCTGAATAAATTTCTTACTGTAATCGCTGACAGCAAAAGCGATTGGGTCTGACAGTGCATTCCTGGTTTTCTTCGACCCTCCCTTTGCATTCTACTACTATCGCTGCTAATGAGGCCAATAAAAACGTGTGCACGAACAGAAACTTGTAGGATACCTGTCAAGGACTAAGAAAGGGTGCGTTTGAATGACACAAGAAGCAGCAAAAGTAAAACTTGTGACCTATTAAAATGTTCATTTGAAACCGCCGCAGGAAATCTGCTATTCTTAACAATGTGTACTATTAATTTAATTTGGGCTCCGCAAGTGATTGTTAAATGTGAGTAAGTACTATTCTGATGCATGATAATGATCAGACTGAAGGATGACTGATTTTACAGCAAGTTTATGGAGAGATAACTTGCACTGGAATACTGGGAAATCCTACAGTCGGTATTTGTTATTTGCAGTAAACGAATAGTGGGAGCGATTGTTCTCATCAAACGGATCATATGGCATTTCATAATAATAATCCTCAGTGCCTTTTTACATCGTTGAGACATCTCAAAGCAATTCACAGGAGATACGGTATTGTAAAGTGAATTGACAATGTATTTGGTGGCCGAAACGCAGCAGACAATTGCTCACAGCAGTGTCCCACAAACAGTCGCGGATTGAGTGACTTTTTGAAGTAAGTAAACTGCTAGGTAAACAGAGGCGTGTAGAGTAAGGAGACTTGCCTAAGGTTTTGCCCTGCCCGGGAATCAAACCTGGGTCCTCTCATTTGTGAGGCGAGCACCTTAACCACTGCGCTACCGGACTCCGCTTAAGGCAGAAAGGGAACAAGGTTGGTTTGAGATCTGGGTTGCTTGTGCTCTAACTGTTTGTGGGACATTGCTGTGCGCAATTGGCTGCCGCGTTCGCCCACAAATATACAGTCAATTCACTTTACAGTCTATTCTGTGAAGCGCTTTGGGACGTCCTCCCGACGTGAAAAGCGCTATATCAAATGCAAGGATTATTATTATTATTATTTGATAGCTGCTGGCATTCTCTCACAGGAAGGCAATGCTCAACCCTTTGAGAATTCCACTCTTCCCATCACAGACCATGGGAGAAACAATGAGGTGGTCTATAACCATCATCTGAACTCCTTGATACATGTTTTATATTACTTTCCTATTATGATTTATATAATTTCAGTTAACACAAGTTATTCTATAATTGATAATTTACACAGTACTACAACAACAACAAAATTACATTTGTATAGGCCCTTTCACGTCGGAAGGACGTCTCAAGGCGCTGGGCAGACAGAGTTTCAGACCCGAGCTGGAGGTCAGGGAGGGTGGAGGTCCGGGGGGGGGGGAGCAGGGAGATCGAAAGTACGATCAAAGAGGAGGGTCTTGAGATGGTTCTTGAAGGAGGCAAGGGACGGGGCAAGGGTGGAGGGACTGCGGGATGGAGTTCCAGAGGGTGGGGGCAGAGTGGCTGAAAGCCCGCCAGCCAATGGTGGGGCGGGCGAGACGGGGGACATGAAGCAGGCCGGAGCCCACTGCGCGGAGTAAGGTTGGTAGGGCGTTAGGAGATCGCAGAGGTAGGGGGAGCAAGGCCGTACGTAGAGGGCTTTGAAGATGAGGAGCAGGATCTTGAACTGTATCCTCTGTGATGGAAAGCCAGTGGAGTCGGGCGAGGATGGGGGTGATAGGGTCATGAAGCCTAGTACAGGAGAGGTTATGGACTGCAGAGTTTTGGATGATCTGCAGTCTATGAAGAGAGGAATTCAGTATTATTTAAGTCCTGATATGGAATTTGATTTAGCCTTGATTTAAAAAATCATAATTACTGTACATAAAATTATCACGGCACTTTTTTAAAAAAATACTAGGGATTGTGATTGCTATCCACAGTATTATTTGTTCTATACATTTCTTCTTTCTAAAGATAGTATTTATAATAAACAGTAACTGTGATTCAAAGTATTGCACCTTTCAGATTATTATGTATTTTATACACTTCAATGTCCTCCTCTAATTCCTGAATTATGTTGTGTGTCAGAGCCCTATCTTTTTCTTTATTAATATATGGGCTTTTCTTTCCCTTTTTGACCCAATTGTTGTGCCAGTATAACTCTGAAGCCAATTGGGTAAGATACATGTGATGGCACTCACTCCCATTTGTTTCTTCACTTCTTGAAGGGAAATGGCAGACTTCTCATTACCTTCCCCAGAATAATGTGGCTGAGATCAGGAGCTCTCCCCACTGGGATTGCAAGCCTGAATCCACACTTCTCCCTGAGGCTGCACATTCATGCTTGTAATTGTTGTGCTTTTAGTCAGCTAAATATAATTTGTTGCATGCTTCAGAGATGTATTCTGGTACCTTCATTGTTTTCCATTTATATTAATGATTCAAAAATACTCATGGGGGAACAATTTCAAAGTTTGATGATGTGATCTAATTTGCAGAATACTTAAAAGGATTAAAAAATATTGATTTTCACTGATTATCTGTTGCATGCCAACAGCTTCCTTTGGCCAGAATCCAATTTCATAGGAGTCTGAAATGAAATTGAGTCAATGTCCAGTGGTTCAGCAGGAGATACATCCGGGTACATGCAGGATGTGGTACCTCTTGCTTACTTATTTTGAAGGACAGTGAATTTTGCTAGTAGCCAATATTCCACTTTATTCACAATACAAGTCAATGCACAATCATCGCATCGTTTTCGGTAAGGCATGGCTGGTGCAGATTAGCTGTTATGTTGTTTTATTTCCAAGTATTGTAACTAATTATGCAAAGTACTTTGGGATGGTTTGATATGAAAAGGCTCTATCACAAACAAGTGTTATTATTTTAGTTGTATTAGAACAGTCTGGATTAAAATGAGAGTTCTTGAAATAGAGGTAAATAAAAGCTAAAAATAGTAATAATCCTTACGTTTGATATAGCACCTTTCATGTCAAGAGTACATCTTGAAGTGCTTAAATGATTTATTGTAAAACAATGTCCCACAAACAGCCATTAAATGTTGTTACATTTGTATAAAGCGCTATAGTAGTGCCATTGAAACTAAGAAGGATATACTGACCTTTGTAAGACCAGTCATGATGACTGAGAACTACAAGAATCTATTTTCTAAATTTAGATTGTATTTAATAATTTTTCATAATTGTGCATAATCATAAATTTTAAGTTAAAGGTCATAAGCCTATGACCATGAGAAATTTCAGAGCTCTGACATGCACCTTCCAGTAAGGGGCTTTGGATAGCAGCCAAGA